CTATTTGATCACCAGGTGGCTTTTTATAGTAGTGTCGCTTTCTTACTGTTTTCTAGTGTTGTATTATGTTTCATTTCGTGAGAATTCCCTAATGAAGTTATTCACCACAAGACGACGGTTCATTCCTCTTTTCATTCTGATTTTACTCTGCCTACTAAGTTGGCGATGTCATTGATATATCCTCTCTCATTACAGGTCTAAACAGGCTAAGCTTTTGTCCATCGTGCCATACCCTCAGAGCTGGAATTCATTTTCGCAACGGTTCAAGCTGGCATTAAATCCTCCTCTTGCTCTTTATACTCACAACTAAGGGCGAAAATAGATATATGTAAATTGATAGCTAGTTATGGAATGATTCATTCTGTTTTTTATATTAATCACAGTATTCACACTTTAGGTATGCGTATGTGCGTGTGTTAGCCCTTGTACGCGTGTCAGAGTATATAATACTCCTTATAATTCACTAATTACGATATAGCCTAAAGTCACTTTTGGGTCGCCGATGTCTAATGACCCGAAGAAAAGCATGACTGGCATCACGTAACCCCGTATTTACCTTTTGTTGAGATGATTAGACGTAAGCCTGTAGTGTAAATCAGCGTACGAATATCTTTAACATGTATTTTTGCATGTAATATAAGTCATCACAGTAATGCTATCTCAGGAGCTTCATCGAAACCCTATCACAGCTCTGCTGTTATTATCATGTGCTCCTTACATCTGACGGTTGACTTGGTATGCTCCCAGGTTTCTCGTCGGTATCCAATTCACTTTACTTTCATTTAAATTCATCCTTAGCTTAATTTCACTCTACAATATTCATCTGGCATTTTGGCTCTTATGTTCACTTGAGCAACCACGCATTCAGGCTTATTAATATCTATCTTTACCCTGGTTTTCGGAGAACTTTGTCATTTTAGTCATAAAAATATGACTGCTTTTCAAACTAACTAGGCTTGTGTTTTCTTTTTGCCTTAATATATGTTCACTTATTATTCATAATTCCTTAAGTCCTTCACATTTCCATTAAGCAGCTACGCAAGAATTCCTAGGTAATGAGGCATATTATGTTTTATTTTTCTTGCTTTACCCAGCGAAGTAGTATTTTGTCTGTCACTACTTTGACTAGCCTATGTCTATTTTTTATGGTCAGTCATATACGCAATTGAATCGTTTACACGTATGAAAATTATTTTTTCTTAAATTTTTTATTTTAGTCAACTCCTTAAGGACCCTCGAGTCTTGTTTGCTGGCTACAAGACTCCTCATCCATTAGAACATCGGATTTTAATTCGCGTCCAGACTACGCCGCATGTTACGCCTATGGATGTTTTTATTTCTGCACTCAAAGATCTTATTAGCGAGATATCAAATATAGAGGAGCAATTTAGAGTGAGATTCTGTTTGTGTATTTTTCATGTTAAAATAATTAAGGTAAGATTTATGCTAGTTTTGCCACCTTTGAGAAATCCTTTTAATTTATCAGGTCATCCAAATCTATGATTCGTTACTTATGGAGATCATATTATAAAAGGAATCAATAATAGTATAGTAAGAAGATTCCTATAAACTTTGGGGGCATGCATTTATTGTAATTATTGTAGTTTGTGGTTGCGCGTCTTCAGTCAATAACGCTAAACCTTTTCTTTTTTAATCGCCTGCTTGGTTCAAAGTTTGCGTCTGATAATAAATTTTAGCTGTCACTCGCCAGAATTCCCCACTGAAGTGGATACCTATTATTATAAGCGACCAAACTTCGACCTTAGTCTTCTTGACATGAAGATAAATTAGATTAGCGTTACTATTTACTCAACTATCTACTCGGCTTAGAATCTTACGTTTTAGCCAGTGCTAATTTCCAATAATCTTCTGCATCTTTTATAGTATTTTAAGCGCTCTATACGTGTTAATCAAATACAATCGTGAAAAGCAAGCACTTTTGTGTCTTCGTTTGGCTAAAGTGAAAAAAAGAAATTAATGTTAATTAGACTAATTTATGTGGTTGGTATTCAGATTGTCGTAAGAACCTTTTTATTTAAATTTCTCTGCAACCAAAATTGCTTTGTTGACAACTTGCTAATGTGAATCTGTTAAATATTTTCATGCTACTTAAAGTATTCATATTTTATAAGTTTCTTAGTTATTTTGTTCGCGTTTTTTAATGCCATCATCTATCTCTGCCACTTATATCTTTTAGAATGCCATAAAATGATGGGTGCCCTTGGCTCACACTTGTTTATCTCTATAATGTACATATTAAATCGTTTAATCATTGCTTATAAAGTTTTCTTCCCTTCTATCAAAGAGTAGAACTAACCATAGTGTAGGAATAGAAGCGTTTAAAGAGTGTTGAATTGAAAAACGTTTTGACTGTATGAGATGCACTTCAGCCGAATTCTTTAGAAATCCTTATTTTTATATGCGAAGGAAAAGCCGTTTTCGATAGACTCCTGAGATCAGGTAGTTGTGAAGACTTTCATTTCGTATAAAAATGCATGATGAAGAAATGCGTAGGCCGATCTCACTAGGAGACGGCTGATTCTTGTTGTACTGTAACCATTTGGCTTTACTACGAAGGTTGGCGCAGTCCACGAGGCATCCCTCCTTGTATCGAGTAAAAAACTGATTGAGTTTCGTTCGTCATATGACGAAGTTTATCATAGCTGGGACAGCTATAATGACAGGCAA